CGGTAACTTTGTAAGATTTGAAAGGAGAAGCAGGTACTCCAGCCCTACCTCACTTAGAAAATGAGCTTGATATACAGAAAACTAGTGAGGGAATGAGTTCTCTTTCTAGGTCCATAATGGGGCATAGTTTTAAGGGCAAGAATTTCCCAGAGCCATGCCCCGCTCCCATCTCTCGCCATCTGGGAGATTTGAAAGTTTATATTTAAATTTTGGGGGCACAGGAAGAAACTAAGAGTCAATCATCCCAGCAGAAGTTTAAAGGAATTCCTTTCATTGGCCACAGGAACTTGGGGAGGTGGGAATTTCTCCCAGGATAAATTCCCCTCCTCCTTCACCCACACCGGATTTCCAGCTCTCTGGACTCCCCTCCCACATAGTGGGAGCTCTCTTTCCCCTCCTGGATTTACCCTTTGGGGTCCCCTTCCCCCCAGTGTGGAAGCTGCTTTTCCTCTCCTAAACTCCATCTCTCACTCTCAGTTCCCTACCACTCTCAGTGTGGAAGCTGTCTTTTCTCTCCTGGATTCCATCTTTCTGGATTCTCTCACTCAGTGTGAGAGGAGCTTTCCTGCTCTAGTTTTCCCTCTCTGGGAACCCTTCTTACTCAGTGTGAGAGCGGCTTTTCCGTCTCTCACTCAGTGTGAGAGCTAGCTATTTCTTTCTCTCTCCTCCTTTTTCTCTCTCTTTACCTAAATAAATTACTTTCTACAAACACTTTTGAGTCCAGCATTTACTTTTACGAGCATACTGTGCTGTGGTCTCCTCTTTCATTCTTGGGGAGTGATAGACCAAGAACCTGGAGAAATGTCCTCTCAGGGGAACTGAGGGCTACCCTGAACCCCAACACTAGCAGCACCCTCGCAAAATAAAAATCTATTTGCAATCCTTTCTTCATCTGCTCTCTCAGCTTTTTATTTTTTAAAAGATAATCTATGTGGGTAAGAGATTTAGGAATCATCTAGCCAGGTCTTGGCAACCTACTTTTTGTAAATCCAGCAGAATGATCTGACTTATATCTCATTGACATTTATTATTTTAAAGTATTGAGCTAAATTTTTTCTTTAATATCTTGTTACAAATGTAATACTACTTTTAGATTATAGTAAAATGTGCTTCTCAAAAATTGTTGACATGAATTTAAATGGAAAAATCTTCTAGTAATGTGAATCATGAATTTTCTTATGACTAAATTCTTTGATTTGAGAATTTTATTTCTGAAAATCTAGTCTAAGTATATAATCCTGAATGCAAAAAAAAAAAAAAAAATCTACACATAAAAGCTATCAAAATATATCAAAGACAACCTAGATGGAAACAGTATATAAGTGATTATAATTAAAGTAGTAGAAACCCAGGTAATGGAATATTAGACAAGCAGGAAAATGTTTATAAAGTTTATACAATAATAAGGAAAAGCAATATTAATTCAGTGAAAAATGTAAAAGCCTTTATGACTTTCAGGCATATTACTTATCATAGATAAGCGTCAGTTTAACTCTTTCTAAAAATATACTTTGGGCCTGGTGTGGTGGCTAATGCCTTTAATCCCAGCACTTTGGGGGGACGAGGCGGGTGGATCACCTGAGGTCAGGAGTTCGAGACCAGCCTGGCCAACATAGTGAAACCCCATCTGTACTAAAAATACAAAAATTAGCCAAGCATGGTGGTGCGTGCCTGTAATCCCAGCTACTTTGAAGAATGAGGCAGGAGAATCACTTGAACCTGTGAGGCAGAGGTTGTAGTGAGTTGAGATTGTGCCATTGCACTCCAGCCTGAGCAATAGAGCAATAATCCATCTAAAATATGTAATATATATATACATTTTTGTGTGCGTGTGTGTGTGTCTGTGTGTGTCTGTGTGTGTGTGTATACTTCTACAGTTCTCTAAGGAGTGTATAAAAAGAGGTTATATACCTCTTTTAGTGTTTGACCAATAGTGGCTGTTCAATAAAGGCAGCTCTCATTATTATAATTTCAATTATGTTATTCTGTACTTTTAATGTTGCTATGTCATGTACTTAAAATACAGATTTTTTAATGCAATCATTTAAGATCCTCCAAATATGATATCAAGTACCTGTTCCACTTTATTTCACAATCCAACCCTCAGCTCCAAGCAAGGTGGACCACTTTCTGCTTCCTGGCTTCACCCTTTGTCCCTCCCTGTTGGTGCCAAAACATGGCTGCTCCCACAACTCCTTTGATCCCTTTACCCTCTATTCCTTTCTGTCATGTTCCACCTTTCCAAAATGTCATATCTTATCTGAAAACTTTCTAAATCCTAAAACCAAATTAGATTACTAACTTCTCTGAAATTTCATAGTATTTCCCAATATCCTTATGAGATTCCATTCAGCATCCTGGTTGGATAACTCTGATATTCAGCACTTAGCTTGAAAAGCAGTGTCCTCAGAGAGGCTGCGTCTGCACAACCAAGCTGAAGTCGGCCCTAGGCCTCTATCATATTTTACCTACCACTTTGACAGTAGATTTTTTACTTCTCAAGAACAAAACTGTTTTCCTTAGTAGTCCCCAGTACCATATTTTTCAAACAATAAATGTTCGGTAATTGTATGAAATTGAATTGTCAGCAATGAAATCTGTATCATCTACACGAAAGTTGGTAAGAAAGCTTCTATATGAAAATTGTTACTAAAATCTTGTCATTAGCCTCTCCTCAACGTACACATTCAGCACTCACACACTCACACTTATTCACACACATTTGCACACATGCTATCTATAGGTATTTACACACATCATTCACACCTGTATTCATTTATACACATACATCATTCACACATTTATGGACACCATTTGCACATGCGCACACACACATTCCATTCACACACTCACACTAATTCACATACACATTAATTCACACAAACACACCCCTCTGGGTACTTGGTCTCTGCCATAATTTACATAATGTTCAGTGAGCAGGTATGGCAGGCACCAATCATAGGAAACTGGAAATGCTCTACCTGGAGCTCCCCAGTGGAAGCTATGATCTGTTGTATTTGGAATGTACAGAAATGACAATGGAAAGAAAGGGAGAAAAAAAGGGTGATGTAAATGTTAAGTATAAACCTTTGGAACAGTAACATATTCAGTGTAGCTCACTTGATAGCATAGTTTAGTAAAATCTGACAGAGAATCCAAACCAATGCAAAGTTAGAAAAAAATTGAAATTTAAAATATGAAGAAGAGCAATTATGCAGAATCTGTAGAACTAGAGCCTTCCTCAGCAAGAATTTTGTTGTTCATTTCAGACTTCTAGGAAACATAGTTTGGGTTTTTTAAAATATTTTCTTTGGGAAAAGGACATAAAAAGAAAATAGAGTAATAAATTTAATAAAAACATAAACCATAAAGTGGATAAATAGCTATGTACTGTGTTTTAAAAGTTAATACTAAATTCAAAAGCATAAAAACAAAGCCGTCCCCTAGTTACAGTATTCCACACTCAAATTGCTTCAGAAATACTTCTGAGTAAGTAAGGATGCATAGTCCTTCCAGGATCCTCACTGCAGCCCCTCAGCTGTTATCAGAAAACTTGAAAGCCTGTTAACTCTTGTCTTCCTCTATCTTCACTCTCTAATGCTCTTTAGATTTTTCCCATCAGCATTTAAACACATTCAGTATTTTCTACTATAATTAAAAGCCCTCCTCCAACACATTTATCTCCTCCCTTCCAATTTTTCTCTCCTCTCCCAAATTCATGGCAAAATTTTACAAAATTGGTTACACATTCTTTCTCTGTTGTTCTCACCTCCCACCACTACCAAGCTCTCTTTAACTTGATATGCATTAGTTTTTTAGTATTTGTACAATGACCTCTGTGGTAGGTTGAATACCTCCTTTCCAAATGCCCATATTCTAATTCTGAGATCCTGTTAATATGTTATCTTAAATGGCAAGAGGGACTTTGCAAATATGATTAAATTTAATGATCTTAAGATTGGGAGGTAGCCTGGATTATGCGTGGGCCAAACGATGTAATCATATGCGGCCTTAAAATAGGGGGGCAGAGGGAACAGCTGCTACAGGAGAGTAGCAGGAGATATGACATAAGAAAGAGCTTGGGACTGGGTGCTGTGGTTTACAGTAACCTCAGCACTTTGGGAGGCCAAGAGGGGGAGTATCACTGAGCCCAGGAGTTCAAGCCAAGCCTGGACAACATAATGAAACCTCATCTCTGCTAAAAATAATAATAATAAAAAAACAGCCAGGCAGGGTAAAGCACACTAGTTTTCTCAGCTACTTGGAGGGCTGAGGTAGAAGGATTGCTTGAGCCCAGGAGGTTGAAGCTGCAGTGAGCCATGAATGTGCCACTCCATTTCAGCCTGAGACCTGGTCTCAGAGCAAAAAAAAAAAGAGGTTGCAGGTTGAAGTGATTTGAGGAAGGTCAGGAGCTGAAAATTTCAGCCAATCTTTTGAAGCTAGAAAAGGCAAATAAATGAAAAAACGACAGGTGTGATAAAATCTCAGAATTTACCACTATGAAATTCACCACATATTTCAAAACCACTTGTACCCCAAAAGGTATTAAAATAAAATATGCATTTTTTAAAGCCAGTACGGGCAAAGAAACAGATTCTCCCCTAGAGACTTCAGAAAGAATCAGCCCTACTAACACCTTATGTCAATCCAGTAAAGCTAATTCCAGATTTCTGGTCTCCAGAGCTGGAAGAGAATAAACTTGTGTTGTTTTAAGCCAAGTATGTGCTAATTTATTACAGCAGCAATAGGAAGATAATACAGCCCCATGCAATAAGTCAAATGGCAGACAATTCCTAGTCTTCCTCTTAGTTTTCAGTAGCAACCTCTCAGCTCTTTAACACCAGAGGTTTTTGTTTGTTTGTTTGTTTGTTTGTTTGTTTTTTAGATCTGTGGCTGATTCTTCTCAGGTTCCTTTGCTTACTCCTTCCTTTCTACCAAAATAGTAAATGGTAGAGTTTCTTGAGACTCTGTCTATTTTTTTCTTTTTTTCTTTTTCTAAGTCTTTTATCTCCTCAGGAAAACATAGCACCATTGAATGCTTTGGCAACCTATAGAGAACTTCAGTTTTTGGTCACAGTAGTAAGAGCTCTTGTTTTCACAGTTCCATGAGCCCTCTTTAAAATGGCCTAAAGACTCAGTCTAAAACCAAAACATTGCTTATTATCTAAGCAATCATATCTACTCTGAAATCTCTTGAAAGCCAAATCCCAAGCTCATCTGCTTGGTTACCAGTAGATACACCTGCTTACTTTAGTTCCCTGCTTAAATATCACACAGACATCTCAAATTTAATGTTATTTACAACTGAACAAATTCCTTTCCTTCCTTCAAGCTCACTGTAGTTCCAGTGTTAACAATCTCAATAAAAGGTACCACCCAGGCTCCCTAACTGAAAATTTGGGGTTTATAATATATGTCCCTTTTCCTCAGCTACCATATACAATCACTTACCAAGTCTGAGCAGGTCTGCCACCTAAATGCCTATTGTGGCTAATCTAGTACAAATCACAGTCTCAGATATGACTAAACTAATGCAGTAATCTTATGTCATACCCATCCCAACAGTGTACTATGTAGCCACATTAATTCAATTATGTTCAACCTCCCGAATCCACAGCAGTTCCCCGACATAATAGGCACAGCGATATTTAAACACATACATAATCAAACACACAAATCATTTATTATAACAGACTTGCTTAACACTCTGCTGTTACAATATAATGTGATTCAGGAAATCTTTCCTTTAGATTTTGGTCTCTGTCTCATTCTTTACTTTCATGTCTCGCTATTCTATGAGCTTCTCTTAAATCACTTTTATGGTCCTCCTCTTTTAGATCATTGTACTTTTCATTTTCTTTTCTTTCTTTTTTTTTTTTTTTTTTTTTTTTTTTTTTGCAATTCAGGATCATGGAACTCTGAAAGTCTCTTTTGTGTAGAAATATTTTCCAACCGTCCCCTTGTTTTGCCCATCTTGTAACCAAACTAGTTTTTATTCATGCTTCGTCCTCCTCTAAACCATCAGGAACACATTCTCTGATACCCTCTCCAAAATTAAGTTAGAGCTTCCTGCTATGTGCTTCCATATTAAACTGCACTTTGACTTCAAAATGTGTATGGTATTTAAATATACTTACCAAACATTGTCTTCTCCCAGTAGACACTTCTTTCCTTTTTAAACAGTGTTATGAAAGTATAAATCAGGTACAATAAATTATACATATTGAAAGTATAAAATTTCTTAAGTTTTGACATATAGATATAGCCATGAAACCATCATCACGGTAGAGATAGTGAACACATTCATAACCCCAAAGTTTCCCTCTTACCCCTTTGTGCTAACAAAGTCATGCCATGTTTGTCTTGTTCCTAACGTATTCCAGGCATACATGTATGCCGGCATACAGTGGCACTGAAAATGTATTTGATAAATGAATTAATGAGAAAAGTTGTTTGTCAAAGGATCACATAAGCACCAAAAGAAATTTGTCTTTCTTTTTGCAACTTTTGTAAAAAATGCAAACCTGTGCATCACTGAAGATTATGCTTTATGAGAGTGATAAATTTTATTTGAATAAATTCAAGTAAAAAATCAAATATTAAATGGATAGGTATGATTCTGAACACATATTTACATGGATTTATTTTATGTATAGCCAGAAAAGATAATGGACATTGACACAAAAACTAGCAATGGAGAAATTACATGTGATTTTAATTTTCTTCTTTGTACTTCTCTGAAACTTTCAAAGACCCTATGTCATAATACGTTGAAATGGGACCTTTCCTGCATTTTAAAATTTTGGCTAAAGCCCCATGCTGTAGACAACAAGTAGTAAGTACTTCCACATTCTAATCAAAACAGCCAAAAAAGCTGTCAGACTCTCCTCTCTTGAGTTGGCTAAGAGTTAGCCAAATTGGTCCTTCTGCTGTCAATACCCAGCATTCTATCCAGTGAACAAAAGCTAACTTCCTAATTTTGTTGAAGGGGAAAGTTGGCAGAAAGTGAGCCTTGCTGGGTTATTTTCCACCCCATCCCATATCTGAAGGAAAGGCAAAGGATGCCATTCCTTTAAGTGATTATTGTGCTCCAAAGAGAACTACTTTTAGAGATTAAGGATGGTGCAAGAACTGGCATTGCTATCCCTGGCTGGATGCTTGCTGAGCTGCATTCATGCACAGGCCCACCCATGCTGCCACTTGAGTGGCATATGGTAAGAAAAGTCTTAGGAGCGTCAGCTGGTATCCTTTGGAATTTTGGAGTTTCTATCTTGCAATTTTTTTCAAGGCAGAAGTTTGACCCCAAAGAGGGCAGCAAGAGTCATCCCACCTTCAGAAAAGATACATCGTTTCCTATGTGGGAAGTGGATACTACAAAAAGTGAGAAGCTCAAGCAGTTTCCATGTGTCTTTCTTGGACTAAAAGGGCTTTCTTCCATGGAAGCAGTAACAAGTAGTGACATGAACCGATGTGCGCAAGAGCTGAGATGCTAACTAGAGAGTGGTGCAATGCAGTAGTTCAACGAGGACACAGAAGAGCCCACCTCTGCTTCATGGACAATTCAGCATTTAGCATGTGAACCCCTCACAGGGTATTGCGGACTAAATGAGAACAAAATGAGCACCAATTAAACCTGCTTTTTTCTTTTTACAAAATTCCACACATGACCCCTCCTCCTTCCTTGACCTTGGAAGACTCAGTAGGTGACAAATTGAGGATGTCTAGGTGGAGATACAGAACACAGTGAGGTAAGCAGTACAGCCCCTTTCTATAGATCGGGCTTAAGGCCCACAGACTTGGCAGTTCTCCGGTGTCTTTCAATCCCATGCAGTTTGCTGTGGAACTCCTCAGGTGGATGGGAGGCAGGACTAGATTGCAATGCTGAACAGAGCAGCCGCGAAAGCTCGCATTGTGAATTGCAGCTCCAGATTGACTGTGAGAACAAACCAGCAATCCCGAGAGGACCCACAGACCCTCTGAAGGAAGCAGACTACTCCTAGAGGATCCAGGAGACACCCCAAATACCGTGAGTGCCCCACCTGTAGAAGTGGGAAAGGGAGATCCTCCTTTCCTGAACGTACATCTCCACTGGAAAAGTTGAAGGTCTGTTTCTGGGAGAAGTTTCTGACTTTACCTATAGCTGAGTCAATTTAGAGAGCCAAGTGAAATACAGAGGTAGAGGAAGTAGCAGAAGGGCCCTGGGAGCTTACTGCATCCCCCAGCAGATTATTCCTACCTGGCATCACAGGGATCCATCAGGAGGGTGACCGGAGGAGCAGGGGGTAAAGCTCCACAGGGAGAGGGAAATCTCTAGCTGAACTTGATAAAAACGTGAATGGGGCAAGAAGCCTCCCGGCCGGAACTCCAGAGAGGATGTGAATCCAGTGTGCAGACTCCACAGGTGGGGGAAGATCTGAGCTGGGAGGTGGGTAACCAGGTGTAAGTTTTCTTTCACAGCTGGGAGGTGGGTAACCAGGGGTAGGTTTTCAAGCCCGGCATGCCTTCTTACCTGGAAACAGACTGGGGACTGTTGGGGGGTGCTTGGTGGGAGTGAGACTTGCCCTTCAATTTGTGTGGGAGCTGTGTGAGGACTGTGACTGCTGGTTTTCCCCCACTTACCTGACAATCTGCATGACTCGGCAGAGGCAGTCATGATCCTCCTAGGTACACAACTCCAATGACCTGGGAATCTCACCTCCAACCCCCACATCAGCTGTAGCAAGACTCACTCAAGGAGAGTCTGAATTCGGACATGCCTAGCTCTGCCTCTACCTGATGGACTGTCCCTACTCAACCTAGAAGCTGAAGACAAAGGGCTTATAATCGTGGGAGTTCTGGGGCCCCACCCACTGCCAGTCCTCTCCACACTACTACAGCTGATGCTTTCTGGAAAGCAACACCTCCTGGCAGGAGGCCAACCAGCACAAAAGTAGACCATTAACACCAAAGCTAAGGACCCCCATGGAGTTTATTGCAATCCCTCCAACCACCTCCACTGGAACAGGCACTGGTATCCATAGCTAAAAGACCCATAGACAGTTCACATCACAGGACTCTGTGCAGACAACCCCCAGTACCAACCCAGAGTCCAGTAGACTCGCTGGGTGGCTAGACTCAGAAGAGAGACAACAATCTGTGCCGTTTGTCTCACAGAATGCCACATCCATAGAAAAAAGGGGGAGAGTATTACATCAAGGGAACACCAGTGGGACAAAAGAATGTGAACAACAGCCTTCAGCCCTAGACCTTCCCTCTGACAGAGCCTACCCAAATGAGAAGGAACCAGAAAATCAACCCTGGTAATATGACTAAACAAGGCTCTTCGATCCCCCCCCCGCCCACGCCGCAACCGAAATCACACTAGTTCACCAACAATGGGACTCAAAAACAAATTCTTGATTTACCTGAAAAAGAATTCAGGAAGTTAGTTATTCAGTTAATCAGTGAGGAACCAGAGAAAGGTGAAGCTAATTGCAAGGAAATCCAAAAAATGACACAAAAAGTGAAGGAAGAAATATTCAAGAAAATAGATACCTTTACAAAAATAAAAGAATTCAGGAAACTTTGGACACACTTTTAGAAATGCAAAATCCTCTGGAAAGTCTCAGCAATAGAATTGAACAAGTAGAAGAAATAAATTTAGAGCGTGAAGACAAGGTCTTGTAATTAACTCAATCCAACAAATAAAAAAAAGAAAATATGAACAAAATCTCCAAGAAGTCTGGGATTCTGCTGAATGACCAAACTTAAGGATAACTGGTATTCCTGAAAAGAAGAGAACTCTAAAAGCTTGGAAAACATATTTGGGGTAATAATCAAGGAAAACTCCCCTGGCCTTGCTAGAGACCTATACATCCAAATACAAGAAGCACAAAGAACACCTGGAAAATTTATTACAAAAAGGTCTTTGCTTAGGCACATTATCATTTCAGGTTACCCAAAGTTAAAATAAAGGAAATAAAAGCTATGACGCAGAAGCACCAGGCAACCTATATCATATTAATAGCAGATTTCTTAGCAGAAACCCTACAAGCTAGAAGGGACTGGGGCCTTATCTTCTGCTACCTCAAACAAAACAATTATCAGCCAAGAATTTTGTATCCAGCGAAAGTAAGCATCATATATGAA